CCGACAGCAACTATAGTGGACTCGGCAGTGAGCTGTGAGCCAACGTGCGTGCAGGCATTTCCATCCAGGGAAGCTGCAAGTCCTAACGAAGAACACAAGAACCTTAATTTGATGTGTTAATTTCTCCAATGTCAGCACAAAAAGCTGACTTCTGCTTCCTCAAGCAGGGTTTTTGGAAAGCTGCCCTGGTTTCTCGGTCACAGTTGTCCTGTCATGCTGCTGCACATAGGGCGTCTAAGAAGAGAGTATGTTCTTAGAGATGCTCTCTGAGCATCATCTCAGTGATAACACCAACAGGTTCAGTTAGGGACAGCTAACTGGGAGAACTTTAAAAAAAAATAAAAGGGAGGGGGAGCTGGAATTTAGGTTGGGGATAGGGAAAAAAGACATTTCATTGCATTTTTTTTATCGGACACTGTTGGCAAGATATGGCAAAATTACAGTGGGAAGGCACTGTGAAATAAGATATAATTTTGAAACATCTTGGGTATGGGCTGAGCAGCCGACAAAGGACACGGTTGGGGAAGGACTGCAGTCACAACACTAAGAAAGGGAGGGGGTGCAGAATTTATTCGTCAATAAAATTTCATACCCAATTACTGTCACGAGACTCTCAAATTTTATTTTCTGCAATTCTTCTGGCAAAAGGCCAGTCCTTACATGACCTCCATAATTTTTTTAATCCTGTCAATGAAATAGTCTTTCCTTCAAGGCAGCCCATTTTATTACCTTTTAAGAGCACCAATTTCCCTCAGAATTTGGAATAGCTTGATAAGAAAACTAACCATAAATAGTAATTTTTCTCTTACAGAGAGGAACTAACACCCTCTGCAAGCCTTTGATTTTTTTACAATTATACTAGATGGAGCCCACCCACAGAGGATGCCATCCAAAGAGGCTTTTCTTCTTAACCAGATGAAAAATGGTTGTGCTAGGTGGCAACTTTGAACACAGGTAAAAAAGTGGACTATACACACCAGCACAGGATCCGTAGGATCACACAGCCTCTTCTGTGTGCTGCAGCTGTTTGGTATCATCCGCGTCTCGGAGCAGGGATCATAATCAGTTTCCAATCTCACGCCTGCTTCTGGGCGTGCAACACCAAGTCAGAGTTGATTTGGACCTACCAGATATTCTAAGAATTAACAGGTTATTTTGTTACTTAGCAAATCCAGGTGTTGGGATCAACTCAGCAGGGCACTTTTCTGTGTAATGGTGCCAAAGGCCTTCAATCTACCTGCCCTCCTTGCCCCAAACTGCAGTCAGTAGGGCAGGTAGCAGGGAGCAGAGCCTGATTCAACAGTGGCTACTGCTCATTTTCTTGTCACCCTATAGGCCACTGGTTGGCAGAAATCTCTGCAGAAATGCATCAAAAATATTTTGAAAACTTGGCCTCCACTGATGAGAAAATTACGTGGTGACTCATGCTCCCATCAGCTCCAGCCTTGATTACTGCAGTTTGATGGACTGAGAAGCTGATATTCCACTGAGACTGCAATTTGCTTAGGGGAGCAGCTGAGAAGCTTCATTGGCACCAATTGTTTCCAACACATCTCTCTTGTCCTTTTAATCACTAACTAATTTAATTTCACTTCTCACTGAAGATCTCACTCTCCACCGTTCTGGCAAGAGAACAGTTTAGAGGCTGCTTTCATGACCTCTGCTGCAGCTTTAGGTGCCAGCATGAAGCAGACCTGCCTGTAGCAATGCCTCGCACCTGCATTTCCTGGCACTGCTTTCTCTAGTCTTGCAAATATAAAGCCATCGGACAGTCCTTTTCCATCCTACCCCAGAAGGTTACTTACCATCCTGCTGTTGAATGAGAATTTTGCAGGAACCATACACAAACTGTGAAGAATTCAAAATACTTCCTCAAAGAAGTCGCAGTCTGATGATCCCAAGTGATAATGTGGTTTAAGCAAGAAACTGGCAAAGAGGAGACAACCTCTCTCTCCTGACATCGTTCCAATATGATGCTGTAGGTTTGGTCTGGGAGATTGGGGCTACCCATGGAAATGGGGACAGGAGAGTTTTGTTAGATGCTGGAAAGGGCAGGCCATCGAATCTGAAATAAAATACTCTTCATTTACTCTTGTCATGTGCTACATTATCACTGAGCTTTGTTAGAACAACGGCAGGGCTTTTCAAACAGCTTCCCTAGGGAGACCGCTCTGCAGCGTAACAGCCCTTTCACTGGAGATGTGCAAGTGTAACCAAAGGCAGAATGTAGTCTCTTGTCTATTTAATGTGTTTGCAAGGGACTCTATGTGTTCCTGGCACTTTATAATAATAGTAATATAAATGCATTTGGATTATAACAAAATGGAGAACCTATGATTTAGCCTCTTACTGTGTTGTAATTCCCAAATGCATCAACATCTATTTAAGTGCAAAATAGTCTACAGTTTACAAATAAAATGCTCCGATCATCTGCTGTAAAGGTTCTATATGAGATTATGATTCAATACAAAACACAATTCACTGTCTGAAATTTCATTTTTAATGTCAGAATAACATCAAAAAAAGTAGCTCTTTTTCCATATGCAGTCTTGCAAAAAAATGTGTACCAGGGACTTGGTCCTTTCTAGTGATTTCTACATATATAACTGCTCATCTCTTATGCACGTATGCACTTACACATAAATAAATGTGCTTGCAGACAGACAATATTTCATCTTGCCTTCTAACCTCCTGCTGTCAAGATATTTCCACAGAAAACTGTACACAAATAAAACTAACAGCTCCTCTTTCTCTGACTGCCAGAATAAAGTAGGGCACTACTTCTGTAAAACCAAGCCGGTGGATTACTCTCCTTTTGCTCTGTGAACAAGCAAAACTGCACAGCTTCTGCTGAGATTGCCTTTTCTGTCATATCACCTATTTGCACTAACTAAAGGATCTATAAGAAAAAACACAACCACAATCTTGATTTTAACTACATAAAAATGACTTATCTTGGACCTATTACTGGGGTCATCAAAAGCTTCTCAACTTAGTGCACAAAAAGGGAAATAAAATGTTTTAGTATCTCAACACAAAGGGCTAAGATTCCCTGAAGTGCTCTTTTAATACTTGAATGTTTTTTCCTCTGATATCATTAGATGGCATTATAGACATGTAGAAGCTAAGAAGTACTGATGATCAAAAAAATCCTTATGTTTTAATATGGGCAAAGTTCTCGACTGTCATCACTCTTGCCTGATTATGTTCGATACCAGGTATCTGTCAGTTAAATTTAAAGCTAAGAAACTGAAAAGATTCAGAATTATTTCAACCCTCTACTTAAAAACTGGTGGAGTTGAATGAATTGATTTTCAGTTGATTATAATCTGCAGTATTCTGAGGACTTTCTTTCCCCAAGTTTAGTTCATAAAATATTTCTGTACAGTTCACAGATTTTTTTTTAAAGGACAAGTAAACACAAAAGAACAAAACATAGGTAACAGAGGTAAAAACTTGACCTAGAGGATAAGTAATTTTATCTTGCTTTCCTATTAACAAAATTAAATTCAAAGCCACTCTGTTTATTAAAGACATATATGCATAATAACAAGTCATAAAACAAACATCTTAACAGTCTTTAAACATAACAGAACTGATATGCATAATTAAGTTTCATTAAGTATGGTTTTAAAATATGTATTTCAGTTTTGCTTTATATTCCCTTTAGACCAACACCTCCAGTACACAATATTTAGACTACCCCAAGCAATCGACAAGGACTTTGTAAAGGCTCTAACAAAACTCCATCTTAAAATAGTTTCAAATACTCTTAAATGTAGAAAACATGTAACGAAGAAAAAAGGGATGCGTTAAGTGGAATTTAATCAAGTTGTTGGATGTACTGAAAGTCGGAGATTCAGTACGCAGAGGTAGCTCAGTAAGAGTATGTGCAGTGTTCTGACTATTTAGCATTGACAAAACCACAGTAACTTACTGTCTGCTTGAACTCTTCCTGTATTTTTTATGAAAGCAAGCACTCTTTCTGGGCCTGTTGCTTTGCCACTGAAAACTAACAGAAAGAGCCATCGATTTCAGTGGGATTTGGATTAAGTTCTTATATGCTCCAAAAGTTCAGGTTCATGGAAACACAATAAAAAGAAACTGCCCTGAGTCTGGACTCCTGGCTGCAAGCACAGTTTTTATGCCCAGACAATGGACTTCTCCCACGTGGAGCCAGTCACTGGTTAGCATACTTCAGAAAGGGGAACCTTGAATGTGGCCCAGAACCACACATGCTGTTCTCTCCATTTACCTCGCAGGCTGGCCTGGTGGTGGATCTGACTATGGTATCTGGGTATGCTGCGATCACAACTGGGAGCTCACTGCCCGCTGCTCTTTGCATCACTGGCTGGTGACAGCAGAGCACAGTGCCAGGGTACACGGGTGGTGGACAGTGTCCTGCCCTCCTGCCTGCTCAGTGTGCAGAGCTTGATCCGGCTCCAGGGAATGAAAGAATTCAGCATGTAGCCACCTCACATACACGTGTTACGTGGTCGTTTTATTGGCGAGGGCAGTTCTGAACAAGGTGATGCTGTCAGCTCCCAGTAGTTTCTCATACAGGTGGCAACAGAGCAGCCTTGCCCTGACCATCAGGTGAAGCACCAATGATTGGTACCAGATTACTTTCCTGTTCACAGGAATAACGGACTAGGAATAACAGACTAGGTAAACCAAACACAATTTTTTTCACGAAGGCAAAAGGATATGAATTTCACGTGCCTACTGTCAAACCAAAGATCTTTAGCTTGTGCAAATGGCTATAGTCTCATCAGAGCTACGATTATTTACATCTGCTAAACATCTGCTCCTAGGTGTTTGCACTCAGCTGCACCATTAACTGCAATGTTAACCATGACATGCATGACACTTATGCATTTATATCGATCCCAGTTTGACCTATTTCTTTAATTCCTTTTAATGTTTTAGTGCACAACAGCCAGCATAGTTTTTGCAGATAAGTTTGGACTAGAGTACTCTCCTGAAATCTTAATCTCCTGGACACAGGGCTGGCTATGTGTTTAAATATATGCCTGTGTTTCTTTCTCTTCAACACTCCTCTTAGAAATAGTATTTTGTGTTCTTTTTTATATATAATTTTATAAAAAAGAGTATAGTTTCATTTTTAAAAAAGTTGTGACTGATTGTCAAATTAGCTAAGATAGTGTTCTGGTTACTATACGTACCCTTTTAACTAGCAAAAAAAATAATTGTCAACTTTCTTGTCCTCACAAGCTATTATTCATTACCAATGCAGCAATATAGAAAACATAGCTTGGGTTACTACAATAAAGGCTGCATTTCAGTATTAGCATCCTAAATTCTGTCACTGCAGATCTCTGTGTATTGCACTGGGGGAAGGAGAAGAAAAAAGAAAAACAAAAATTTGTGTTCTTCAAGGGTAAATTATAAAAGATCTTCTAGCTGCAAACACAAATACTTCACTCATAACCCAAGCACCAGACCATTTCTTTGAAGAAGCTTATGAGGCATTTAAGATATACAATGGCACAATATCATACAATGGAATTGAAAGAATTTTCTTGAGAAACCATTAACTTTGAAGGAATGTCTAGACAACTGTGTCAACAAATGCAAATAATTCATGCTTCTCAGCTTCTATCCAATGGATGGCCCCATGCTGAGAATACACAAACTCAGAAGAAAAAGGCATGTCACAGTCATATGACTTGGGAGTGTAACAGAGTCACACAGAAATTCAAGTCAATCTCAAAAAAACCTTCAGAAAGCTCTTCCCGAGGGCAAGACAGCAGTGGGATAGGATTCTCGTCATTTTGGCTAGTTTAAAACAGAGACTTACAGCTGGTACACCCTGGCTTCAATGCAAGGGCAATGGAACAAACAGCCATTAGTCATCACCATTCATTGGTTAGAAAAATAAAAACTAAAGAACTCCAAAATACTGTACAGCCTCTTGCAGTAACCAACAAAGTGGCTTCTGGAAACAATGCTTTTGCCAAAAATGCATCTGTAAGGCACTTAACAGGTCTCTTTTTAATATATATATATATATATGTATGTATATAGAAAAATAAAATATGCACTGGAGCAACATTCACCAAAACCCCGTTGTCTCAATTGTCTGTGTGTACAGTATAGTACATATATACAGTCACTGTGACACAGGCCATCTCCTTCATTATACCTTCACGGGTGCTTTGGGCTGCCTGGTTAACTTCAGTGCCTGTGAACAGTAAACAAAACAGTCACTTCTTTATATTCTTAAAAAATGACCAACAGCACAGATTTTATTTATAACAGGCAACAAAATGCTGCATGTGCTTCTAGGATGCTGAGTGAGGTGTCAGCATGCAGCTGACAGGCCACTCTGGGTTTTGGGATGATTATTTTCTCTCTGATAGCCCACCACAGCCTCCTCATACACAGCCTTAACAGAGGAACCACAAGGAACATGGCTACAGTGCCAGTGAAGGAAGTGAAGGGGGTCTTAGAGGTCTTACAGAAAGCAGGTCTTGGGACTCCACTCAAGAGACCACTTGTAGCCCAGAGAGAAGAGCTTCTGACCTACTTAGGAAAAGACTGTGAAGAAAATTTCTGCCAACACCTTCATGTTCCCTGCCCTCCTTCCATATGGCATGAAGCCAGAGCATAGTCACTGCTGCAGTGGTAGAGGTCATGCTCCTCTGATATTTATACCTTCCTTTCTCAGAAAAGGTAAGAATAAACCATAGTCCATCAGTCCAGAGCTGATCTTATAGCAGGGGACACCTGCTGTCTTTGTAACTTTAGGTTACTCTTACTGTACAAGGAGGAGAGAAACCACATGTCTTTGTTTGATGGCAGGGTCCAGCTCTGTGTTACCCACCGGGCTGGCAACCTATGGCAGCTGAACTACTCAGCGTGAGACAGAGGTTCAACTCAAATGATAGGTGATTGTGCTTCTAGTTCGGCAGGAAGCAGCCTCTCTAACTCAGGAGGTGATTGTGACAGGCTTAAAAGGTGTTAGGTTTGCAGCTGCTCCTGTATACTGATGAGGTCAGTGAAGGATGCCTTTTGCCGGCGTGCTCTACAACAGTAACAGCTCAGTGCCTTCTTGTGTGGGACGAATCGGCCTGAGAGGGAAATTTGTGAAATTTGCTCATTCCTGAAATTCAGAACCTCCGTTTTCCTTAGCCTTTTGGGGGAAGTGCACTGACAGACTGTAATTTGCCTGTTGGGTGAGAGACTATTTCTGGAGGGTTGGCTAAACAAGCAATTTTCAGTCTCAGATTTCTGATGGGTCCTCTTATTGTAGATATTAACCTTTAATATTTTACATTTAAAGCTTGTAAGCACTGCTTGAAAAATGCTCCAGCACAAATGTAAGCCCTTAAAAAAAATCCAAACCTTTAAAAATAAATAGGTTATATTCCTCTCAAACACCAGCATTCAACACCAGCATTCAGAAACACCAGCATTTAACTATTGTTAAATCTAGCCATTTGAGATTAGTCTTTTGGATATTATTCAGGAAGAGACTTTGGAGAGAGACATCATTCCACATTTTGTTTGGGGAAACAATTTTTTAACTTTGTAGTTTGGCAGATTCTGCTGCCATATTTACAAAGTAGAAATACCTTAGTGTAGATGAACCTCTAAATATTTAAATTCAATTTCATACAACCAGATCACATGTACTATCATAATTAAGTAGGAATGTCACTGCAGTTGAGTACTGTGACTGGATAACCGTCTTCCCCTGCAAGAAAGATGCCAAAATGAAGCCAAGGTGTTTATAGAAAATAAACATCAAGGGTGATGATGACATGTTTATTTTCAAAGCGGGAGACCATTATCCAGTCACAGCATTCACTTCTATTATACTTATTGCAACTGTACCAGACCCAACCTCATTGATTTTTTTTCAAAGAGTAATTAAAATAACATTTGTGAATAATACAGAAGACCAACTGAAGAAACTGCTGCAGCAGAACAACAATCCCCTAAAGTGGCTCTACAGCAGCATTACAGTCTGATTAGCACAGGAGGTTTATTTGATGCTTAATGAATAAGAAACTAGTGCTGGTGAACAGTAAATCTCTCCAGTACTGGTTGACTTTTTTGATACCCTGTTGAAAGGCTGTGTTAACTTGCAGCAACTGACAGCAGCCCCTAAAGACCATTACCACCCTGAGGATCATGGAGGTCTGGATGAGCTCCAGCTGGTCCTCAAGGTAGAGAGCAGTGAGATGCTGAAGAGAAGCCAGCATTACAGGGATTGTTCTGTTACCGGTAGTGTCTACTTTAGGCTATCTTTCTGCAGGAATAACACAGAATTTTCTTTATGCAACCTGTAATGTCTCCTGTTAATTTCTGATTTTAAAAAAAATCATGACTTTCAGACTGATGAGGAAATAACATATGATTCTCAAATTTCACTTTTTGGATGCTAAGATAAGTATACCTTAACAGGGTCTGATTTCTGGACTCAGTTCCTGAAAATTGAGAGTTTTCCTGCTTTTCACAATTAAGGTAACCAGAAGTGGAGCCACATAAAATCACTAATTTGGGGAATTTTAGCATTCAAGTTAGCAAGGTGACTTTAGTGGAGTGAAACTAGTAAAATGGCAGCCTGTTGAGTTTTGCTGAAAATTAGAAACATGGAAGTTATTAAAAAAAGTTCTCCACTGACAAGTGGAGAATGCAGGGTACTGTTGGCGCTGGGCTTCTCACAGTAGGTCTCAACCCTCACCTAAAACGGTTATCAAAGACTGCTTCAGTTGCCACAGCTTTGTGATCCTTATAATCTCAGAACATTAAAGACAGCATTAAAATTAGTTGCATGGACTAGTTTTCCATGAGGTGGTTACCACTGTTCTGAGAACCTGACTAAAACTGTGGCCATTATTTCATATAGAATACAAAATGACTGTCAAATATCAATAGCTTCAGTTTGTACTGAAATAAGCATAATTTGAATCAGTGATGTCAATGCAAGAACCTCTAGGTTATAGTCTATAATCCTGCAAGCTATCCCATGCCATAATTTTGGCACGAAATGTGACACACCAGACTCTTGTAGATTTCTGGCTGTTGTAAAGGGTGACTCATAAGAAAAAAAATTAAAAAATCATAGCCTGCTTCAACTCACTTCAATCCAGAAAGTGTTCTCATTTTACCCGATTTCCCCATTTCCCACACCAGTGGACAGATCTCTGTCACTGCCATGATGAGATCCAAAGCTGTGATTATTGGCTAAAGCCAGAGCTATTCTTATTCAGCACAATCTGAATTAATAATTACAATTAATTCGTAATTTGAACTAACTGCAGACACCTAATGTCATGAGTTGAACCTTTTCAGAGCCAAAGAGGATAAAGTTCAGCATTTTTAATTTGATACTACTCTGACTATCAATGTAATAAAGGAAGTAAAGAAAGAGAAAAATCTCTACTGTGGGATCTACAAGAAGGAACCCAAGGAGATTAAGACGTGTTTAGGTGTTTTTTCCCCTCATAGCACACTTTCCATTATAAATCAAAACCAGCAATTCTTACCTTTTGCCTAGAAACCATCCAAGATTTTATTGTTGGTACCAACAGACTGCCAAGAAGAATCTGAGCAGGATGATAGATGAGTAAGGGGATGGAAATTAAGGACAGGTGCTCATAACCCGCAAATACTATCTTCAGCATTGGAATCCCTGCAGGCAGAAAAACAGGAGACAGACTTTCACCTCAGACTCTGAGCTACAGACAAAAGCAAAGCGTTTTGTGTTGCATTGAAATTTCACCAAAAAAACCCCAACTCGAACCAAAATGAAGTCTCAGAAGTTTTAAATTAAAAAAAAAAACCAGCAAAAACATCAACAAAAAATACACGGAAATAAAGTTGCGTGGCAAAAAAGAAGGAATGGGGGGATGTAAGAAAATATTTTTTTCTAATTATGCTAATAGCTGTCA